ATTTTAAATGAATTGTTCAGTAAAATGATTGAAGTACACTAATATGATAGTTTGCATTTTATTTACCTCATGTGCACGCACTGTTTACAGTTTAGTACTACTATATCGTACTTAGACAGCGTAGTAGTACTTTTGTAGAACAAATACACTTGACTGAAAGAATTTTGAACAATCATCCTTTTCTACTCTGAGCCGTTTGGTAACACTAAAATCGTCTGAATCGGATGATCTTCTAAGTCTGGTTCGAGGGCGGACGGCAGACATAACTATATTTTTATTTATTTATCGCTATATTTATTTCTTATGCTAACATTTATATTAGTATACTTCTATACTCAAAGATGATAGTATTTTATTTTTATTATTAACACTAGTGCAAGGGATTCGTTTGTTCTTAAAATCATTCTAAATCCTACTCCGTATAAACTACGATTGGCATAGCTGATTTTTTAGACGAAGAGGTAAAAAAGTATGTGATGGAAGACAAATTCTGATTTAATTGTCTACTAATTTGTGCTCTTCCTATTAGCTCTTTGTTTCTTGCGAGAATCAATTTTTGAGAGCCCGTTTGATAACACTGTTATTCGGCTTATCAGGCTTATCAGCCAACTTTTTCACCAAACACGTAAGTACGCAACTTTTGATTTACTGTAAGATTGAAGTTACTTTTATGGCTGTTTCGGCTGAAGTTACTATAGAGGACCATTTTAGCTAATTTTACATATAATTTTTCTTTATTTTATTAATAAAATATATTTTAAATTTAATTTTTGCATAAATTAGTAGAATCAGCCAATACAGTCACTTAAGTCAGAACTTCATAAATTTCAACAGAATATATCACCTCTGTAGAATCAATAATATTCGTTGATCCTGTAATAAGCTTAACTGAGTCAATGACTAGCAAACCGGCCAGACTCCTCATCACCAGGGCCGGCTCAATAAATTAGGAGACCCGGTGCGAGTCACAAAAAATAGGCCTTATATTAAATCAATACAATACCAAAAATCAACCTTAAAAAACCCAAAAAAAATTACAAACAAATGTGAGATTGAGAAATGATCACTTTTTCGAACTTCAACAAATAAAATTATTAAAAAAATCTAAAATCGGAAATGAACGAATGAAAATACTCAAAATAGTATAAGAGAAAGTGAATTTTTTACCTTTAGTTGAATAACCTGAATAGTTAGATCATTCGGTCAAATAAAGTAATCAACTATTTTCAAAAATAATTACCCTATATATACACTATATAAATTTTACAAAAAAATGGGCCTTATATTTTTTGAGGCCCTGTGCAGAGGCACGCTTTGCACGCCCTCATCTACGGCCCTGCTCATCACCTAACTTAAAATCTTGAATCTCTCTGGCTCTCTGCTAGGAAATAAGAACACGTTCAGAATAATATGGAATTCGAAAGAAAAACGTAAACAGAATAAAACGGAATTAAAACAGAGTTCACCCATCTTCTTCCAAACTCTGACCTTGCTTGCACTCCATGGCGGCGGCTCAGGAGGGAACGCGCCCGCCGCTCATCCGCCTCAATAGTCATGCTTTTGTATTGAGTGACAATATCCTCTCTTGACATTCCTTGCTGCTGAATCGAAACCATACTCCGGCTTGAAACCATACTTAAACAAATTGCAATTTCGGCTTCTTCAACAACCGTGATAGGACTGCAAACGAGCTCGAAACACTGCTCCTTCCAAGCCGGGAAAAACATAAATAAACGAAAGAAATATAGGGTCAGGATGAGCAAGGAATGAATGCAGAACTCTAAGAAATGATACAGTTTCGTCATTATGGCGGCACACCGCATTACGGATTGAAGGGTCAGGATGGATTTCAATTTGTCAAAAAGATTAGTTTATCAAAATTTCTTTTAGCCAAAGCTAATTGAATTATATCAAGACTCTGTCTTCCGATAAACATTAAAATGTCAGTAAAGTTGTTCTGATTGTGAATGATAGAAAGTCCTTGACTCCTTGTAATCCTTCGATGTAAAAAAAAACATATGGAGTAATAGAAAGTCCTTGTAATAATTAGGTAAAAACTAGGTAGCAATCACTTTAATCCTAAAATATTGTCATACTATGAGTGTACGACATTAATATTGTCATATCAAGATAATTGATAATGTCATTATAATTTAACATCATACTACTTTACTCTTACTTAGGAAATGATCCAGCTCAATTGATCAAGCACTCTCATACAGGTTTAATTATGATCTCATCTCATATATCTAAGAGTGAAACATTGTTAGGGCTAAAATACGAGGACATTTTAATAACCTAAATGAGACCATTAAGTGATTGGATACCCAATGTATTACGTAGTAATTGGAAACTTGTGTCTCCAAAGGTTTACCCCCTATTTAGTAAGGGTTGGTTTGCAACTACTTTTGAAAAAGCACTTCTCAGCTTTTGGCTTTAAAAAAGTACTTTTTTCTCAAACACTACAACTTTTATTTTTCTCGGCTTCCGCGTCAAAAGTGTTTTTACTTTTTCTATTACACAAAAAGCATTTATTTTATCAAACACTACTCACTTTTACTTTTCAAAATCACTTTTTTCTCAAACACTATCAACTTTTATTTAATCACTTCTCCCCATTTCATTAAAAAAAGCACTTTTTTTAAAGCAGAAATTGTTGCAAACAGACCCTAAGGGGGTTAGTAAGACTTGGATGGGCTTAATTTGAAAGTCCTATATCCCACTCAAATTCTCTTTTAATGTTTGGTTAGCTTTTAGCAGATCCGGTCCTGTCGTCCATTTTATGGGCCTGGGACAACACAAATAGAGTGAACCTACAACATGAATATGTTTTTAATTTTTTATATAAAACCTATAAATAAAATATAAAAAAACCGTCTTCCAAATACGGGTATAACACATCAAAGAAAATAATAAAGCAATGGTTTGAAAATTTATAATTAAGTACATATTGCTAAGTTGAATCGAGAATATCATGTACCTAAATCGGTTGAATGAAATAAGTAGTACAACTATTACTTTCAATAAAGAATTTTGAATTAGGGAAAGTCGTGAAATATATACTCCCTCTGTCCCTAAATTTACTTCCATTTCGCTTTTCGAGAGTCAACTTAAATCACTCTTAAACTCTTACTTTTTGTATCAAAACTTTATGAAAATTGATTTTTTTTTGTGCAGGCTTTGTAGCGGGTTTAATGTAGTTTCTGAATATGTAAATTTTATTTACTAAAAATAATCCGAGTTTTCACAGGGATCATTTAACTTTATCGTCGGTCAACCTTCGTAATCCGCAATCGGAAGAACATTCAGGGACGGAGGGAGTATATCATAAGGAGTATGTTTTTCATATTTCAAATCACATTTTCTAAAACAAACTGTAAGTTTCTAAATTCTGGATACTGTAATTCAATCTTTCATTTATATGAGAGAACAAAAACAAATGAGCGAAACATACTATTAGTGGATCATGGGTATACTTGCTGGAAGTAGATCAAAAGATAAAGATTTATGCATTAACCCCTTAATGAATAAAAAGAAATAATGAAGCATGTTTCCAAGAAATTCTAATTATATAAACTATATATAATTAAACATATATCTATATATATAATTGAGAAAATTATGTGCCCTAGTGGAGCAATGGGCCATGGGCACATGCCCTGTTGCCCATACCTCAGGACCCACTAGGCTTTTAGAAAACGGTTACCTACACAGGATAACCTCGGTTACCTACATATTGTTAATAGATGTGATATTTGCAAGGGTGGGTTGGAATCTACCCCACACCTATTTTTCCTTTGTCCATTTGTAGCTAAGATATGGATGCGCATAAGGAACTGGATTTTATTGGAGCATCAAATGACCACATTACCTAGCTAGGTTAAATGGATCTTGAAGAAGCATAAAGGAGCAACATTAAGGGCAAAGACAGTTCGACTGGCCTTCTGTGCTACCATTTATTGGATTTGGCATGCTAGAAACTTTAACAGATTTGATGAGGCCAACAAAACCAAAGAAGAAATTGTAGCAAAGAATAAACATGTGGTCTATATAAGATCTCTTTAATATTTATCCACATGAGATGATTGACTTCTGACTCGAATGGAATCCAAATATTTGGAGCAATGTGCATGCATCTTGTAGCCAGGGGTGGATTCAGGTCGGGCCACCCGGCCCGTGGCCCGGCCTGGCCCGCTACTATGCGGGACCGGGACCGGCCCGGTTCTCGGGTCGGGCCTAGGCCCGGGGGAGGGGGCGGGTTCGGGCTCGGGTCTTACGTTTGGTGAACCGACCCGGCCGGGTCGGGCCCGGGTCCGGGCCAAATTGATTTTTTTTTTCATTTTTGGGGTTCCACCCGGGTTGGGCTTGATGGTTAGGAGGGGTTTGGGGGGGGGGGGGTTAGGAAAGCAATAAAAAATAAAAAATAACCAAGCCGGAGGCCCGGCCCGGACCCGGACCGGATCCGGTGCCTACCCGGGCCAGTCCCAGGTCCACCTTTTCTGAACCGCCGGCCCAACCCGGACTCGGCCCGAATCTACCCCTACTTGCAGCACTACGTGAAGATTTTTTTTTTTTGGAGACCATAATGTTTTGGGCCAAGATATAGTTTAGATGGAAAAACCCTTTTTTGGACACATATATTTGCATTTCATCCCGAAAAAATCAAATTTATTGTCTAAAATCTTTGACAAGTAAACACCGCCACATGATCATAATAAATATTCACAAATTGAGCGATAGACTGCTGGATCCAGAACGAAAACCTCGGAATTGTACAAATCCCGACACCATCCACAGGTAATGGGTACGATTCTTTTCATATTGTGATTGGACTGCCCAATTTCGATTCTCACCGACACTTGATTTCTTTCAATAATCTGCCCAAGAAACGGTTTGTACATGCGATAACTTGACCAGCACCGTAACCCAACCGTTCTGGTTACAATTGAACTATATTTGGGACTGAGACCAGACCGTGCAAAAATTCTAACATGTATGAGTTATCACTCAAATGAAACATCATTCATGGATAGGAGAAATTCAAGTATATTAATATCAGAAATCACTCAAATAAGTAGAGAATGTAGTATCCATCAAAACAGAGTATGGCTTTAACTTAGACAGCAACAAAGACAAACTCCTCCACTATGAGGGGAGATGAAATTGGGAGTAAAATAGGTGAAAAGAAAATAAAGAATATCAGCTAATGAGCCATAACATATACGTAGTAGTATAAGCAGCGTGTGAGCCATCTAAGCAATGGCAGGCATGTCCTTGAGCCAAGCATCCAATGGCTTACCAATTGAGTAGACGATGAAGCCAATCTCTCTCAGCTTCTCCGCATTGACAACATTCCTACCATCGAAAACAAAAGCAGGTTTTTGCATATTCTCGTATATCCTTGTGTAGTCGAGATTCTTGAACTCATCCCACTCGGTGAGAATGCAGAGGGCATGGGCATCTTTAGTTGCCTCATAGGCATCCCAAACTACAGAAACCTTTTTCACCGTGGATGGGCTCATCGGCTGGAGATGAAGGGGGTGATCCCAATCAAACTTGTTCATGGAGAGGTCTCTCTGGATCTGATCTTCAACCACCTGAGGGTCATAAATGCTCAACACAGCATTGTCGCCCAAAAGTCCCTTGCAAACATCAATCGCAGGGGTCTCTCGGGTATCACCAGTATCCTTCTTGAATGCAAACCCAAGAATAGCGACTTTCTTGTTCGACACGGTGTTGAACATAGATGAGACGACACGGTTCACGAAACGGCTCTTCTGGTAGTCATTGATCTTGATTACTTGCTTCCAGTATTCAGCCACCTCAGGAAGGCCATTGCATTCGCAAATGTAAACAAGGTTCAGAATGTCCTTCTGGAAGCAAGAACCACCAAATCCAACACTAGCATTCAAGAATTTGGAACCAATCCTTGTGTCCTTACCCACTGCATATGAGACCTCAGTCACATCTGCCCCAGTGGCTTCACACAGAGCTGACATGGCATTAACAGAAGATATTCTTTGTGCCAGGAAGGCATTGGCAGCCAATTTTGATAGCTCAGCAGACCATAAATTGGTAGTTAGGATGCAATCTTCAGGGACCCAATGGGCATAGACATCCTTGAGTGCCTGGACTGCCTTATTTCCTTCTGGGGTCTCGCGACCACCAATGAGTACCCTGTCGGGATTGAAAAGGTCCTTGATAGCAGTTCCCTCTGCTAGAAATTCGGGGTTTGAGAGGATCTGGAAGTTAATTCCCTTGCTGTTGTGGGTCAAAATCTTTTCAATAGCCTCAGCAGTTTTGACAGGAACGGTTGATTTCTCAACAACTATTTTGTCAGACTTTGAAACATCAGCAATCATGCGAGCAGCACTCTCCCAGTAAGTCAAATCTGCAGCTTTGCCTGCTCCAAGTCCTCGGGTCTTGGTAGGCGTATTGACAGAAACAAAGACTATATCGGCCTCCCTCACGTGTTTCTCCACATCCGTGCTGAAGAAGAGGTTCCTCCCACGGCACTCCTTCACTACTTCATCAAGGCCTGGCTCATAGATGGGGAGCTGGTCGCTGTTCCATGCATTGATCCGAGGCACAGATATATCAACAACAGCCACTTCAATGTTCGGGCACTTGAGTGCGATCACAGCCATAGTGGGGCCTCCGACATATCCAGCACCAATACAGCAAATCTTCACCATTTTTGTTCTGCAAATTCAAATTTCATATTCCGCAACATGATTTAAATATAGGAATGAAAGTCCACAAATTCATTAATTTTATAAACCGCCTGCTGCGATTGATCTAGAGATCAGATTCTTAAGAACAACACTTGCATGGTTCCATACAAATATAATTGTAGTACCAAACATATATCAACTAGATGACTAGATCTGCTATTGTACCCAGAGATCTAATTATCCTTATTCGATAGAATAAATCTCATCTCCCAATGAAGAACAATAAATGTCAATTTTTTATCACTATAAGGTAAGATGTAGAATAAAGAATTAGCCATATACTCCGTATCTCTAATCTCTATATATATAATATGCAGAATTTTGGCACTCCTCCGTACGAAGGCAACACACAGCCAGCGTATAGGTCGGTCATTACATTACAGCTTATTAAAACTCCATAATTTATACAAAAAGAACAGATAAAGAACGAACCTCAACAATGCTTGATCTATTCACTGCTGATAAGATACAAAAAGGATATGTAAGAAGAAACGAAACAAGATGCGATGAAATAAGAATACATTCAGCAATAATCGACTGACCTGAGGATATTAGACGAACGGCGTCCGATCTAAGGGGAAGAGGAGATGGAAATGGTAAAGAGAAGATGGTAGATCGGAGAGGTAAAGTAATGCAGATGGTGGGCAGAGCTGGGAAGGCGGGGAGGTCCTTAAATAGTCGTTGCGGATCTTAGATCTATTGCCCCCTCCTTGTCTCTAATCCACCAAAAGGGAGCTTTCAGACTTTGCTTGTGAAACGAGAAAAATTCCACCTCAGTCTAATAATGACGCAAAAACACTCCTTTGCGTAATTTGGGGACTGTATTCAACCATTAATATTGTAGACAGTTTTTTACATAATATATTTCCAACATTTTACTCATTTGGTCCACAAAAAAACACATTTTACTCGTGAATATATTTTGAGTAATCATTTATAGGAACATCTTTAAAAAAATTCAGATCTAAGATCCCCAATGACTTTTTCAGGAATATCTTCAAAATATAATAAGCAGTTACGGTTTTAACATATATAAATTTTTAATCTTACATCCAGAACAGATTAAATGACTAAATCAAATTAAACATAAAAATATCAAACTAGATGGAATCAAATAGGACTTAATGATAATAAAATGTGCTCCATACATGATACCAAACATTTTACTTGATCAGACAAAACCAGAAAAAATTAAATAGAGTAGGCTAGCTCAAATATAAGCAAATCAGACCATACTATAAGAATAATTATCAGGCTTAACCATAATCATATCTCTGGCAGAAACAAGAGTTATAATTACAAAAGGAGTCCCACAATAATAAATAATTATAAAACCACTCTATTGCACTCCTTCAAGCTGTGCAGGGGAAACAATGCGCAGATTGTCACGAATTAGAGTAAACAGTTGTGGAGACAAACACTCGGTAAAAATATCTTCCAGAATGTGTCTGAGTATGAACACACTTCACGCGAAGATCACCATGAGCCACCCGTTCACAAACAAAATGATAATCAATATTAATATGCTTGTTTCTGGTACATGATGAATGAGATTAACCGAGAGATACGATACAGAGACATTATCACAAAATAACGTAGTGGGTACACGAACGGGGAATCCCAACTCAAATAGAACGAGGTGAACGTGAAGAGTGTCCTGAAGAGTAAAAGCCAGGCTCTATATTCAGCTTCAGTGGAGGATCGGGAGACTGTGGACTGCTTCTTGGAACGCCAAGAGATGAGATTTGGGCCTAGAAAAAATTGCATAACCGGATGTAGACCAGCCTGTATTGGGGCAGCCATCCCAATCAACATTTGAATAAGAAATGGCTGTTGGAGACTCACGAGAAGCCTGTAGAAGGAGCCCATGGGTGGATGTGCCCTGAAGATACCTGAAAATACGCTTAACAGCCAACATATGTGAAGTACGAGAAGCATGCATAAACTGAGAAACCAAATGTACAGCAAAAGTAATATGTGGCATAGTCAAAGTCAAATACTGTAATGCACCTACCATACTCCTGTACTCTGTGGCATCAACAAGGAGCTCCCCATCAATAAGGGAAGGTTTGGTGTGACTAGGTAGAGGAGAACGAACAAGTTTTAAAGTGTGGAAGTGAAAACGAAGAAGAAGATCAGATATATACTTATGTTGAGAAAGAAATAAACCAAATGAAGTACGAAACACATGTATCCCTAGAAAAAATGCAAATCCCCCCAAATCCTTCAAGGCAAAACACTTGGCCAAAAGAGATAACAAAAAAATGAGTAACTAATTTGGAAGAATTTCCTGTAACAATAATATCATTAACAGGTATATAATCTCATAATTACGCTAAAAAATAAATAAGGAATTATCAGACCGGCTGCAGACAAAACCATGAGATAGGAGAAAACTACTAAATCGGTGAAACCAAGCATGATGTGCTTGTTTGAGACCATAAATGTCTTTACGAAGCCGACACAAGTGATGGGGAAACTGAGGATGACAAATTCAATTGCCTGATGCATATAAACCTCCTCAGTAAGATGACCATGATAAAAAGCATTTTTCACATCACGCTAGCGTATTGGCCAGCCAAAAGACACTGCTAAAGTGAGAACAAGACGAACGGTAGTGGGTTAACAACAAGGCTAAATGTCTCAGTAAAATCAATACCTGTCTGTTGATAAAACCTCTGAGCAACCATCCATCCTTTATAACGATCAACGAACCCATCAACCAAATACTTATTCTTATAAATCCATTTAGACCCAATCACTTTCTTTTTAGCATCAAATGGTACTAAATCCCAAGTTATGATTATAGATAAGGGCATTAAATCCCTCTACCATAGCGGCTCTCCACTTGAGATGTTTATTTGCAGCGGAAAAACATGTGGGATCAAGTGTGCTGACAACTATGATTAAAGCAAAAATGGTTTTGGGTTTGAAAATTCCGAATTTGGATCGGGTTTGCATTGGATGAATATTAACAACCGAGGTGGAGCTAGCGGGTGGTGGTACTTTAGAAACTGTAGCTGATCGAGCTACTCTCGGTCGGGGGGGGGGGGGGGGGGGGGTAATTGCGGACTGAAATCTGGAGAGAAAGAGGAAGTGACGTCACTAAAGTCGTTGTGTGCCTCAAAATAAAATTCGATACTGACACTTATACGTAGTATAATGAAGTAGAGTTCGTATCCACATGGAAAGGAATACTTTTCTTTTATGAAACTAGTAATTAAAAGGGGGATTTTGGGATTGTTTGATTTTAATTAATTAAATACTAAGATGCCCTTACCCCACTGTAGGTGGGAGCCTTTGCGGCACTGGGGTAAATGAAAATGAAAATGAAATACTAAGATGAACGACTTGTATGATTTTAATTAATGAGATAAAAGACTTGGTTTTGGTACTTTCCACTTGTTGATATGCTTGCTGATCTCGGTTATATCTATAATTTATCCCCTCTCGAATACTCAATCGAGGAGTATCTCCAATTTATCGAGGGTAGTTATTAATAACGACCGTTCATTAATAACCCTTACTATTAGCATTTAATCTCTTAATTAACTCCTTGATGAAATCGATTGAGCTTGATAACCTCAACATAATGGTTTCGGTTTAACCAACAAAATTAATCCCTCTTAAGATTATTAACCACGACCGTGCATTAATAACCAGAAGTTACTTACTAGTGAAACCATCAATGATTAACCATCGGTTCATTGGTCGTTTCTAATAGTAATTAATGTCAAGATGTTAACTAATTGTCATCTTAGCAACATTACCTAACATTAATATAAAGATAGAATAAGGGAAGAATTAATATTCAAGGGAAGAAGTAAGAAAATAACTCAAAATTTTAACATTCAACAAGCTTCTAGAGCAAAACCAAGTAATGGAAGTTTTGCTTCTCATTTAGAGACTAAACAATGCTAGAAAAATATAAATAAAATTCTATTCTAAATTTGGAGGTGTTTTGGAAGAAGGGATGGTTAATATGAAGGAAATGGTGTTATTTATAGGTGTTTCGGAGTTGCTGCAGCGGATACCTGACCGAGTATATAGGATACCCGACCGGGTATCAGTGTGTTTATCCAACAACTTCGTTTTTTACTTCATACCCGACCGGGTAAGTCACCAAATCACATTTCTTGCATGATTTCTTGTTCCCTTGCACTTTCCTTTGATATTGTAAGATCCCTTCCATGATCATTTGTTGATTCTTGATTGATTCTTGCTCAGGATGATTCTGAATTTACTAAATTAAAACAAAATAGAAAAATAAAATGATTGCATCGTAAATGTGCAATTACCACCACAACACACTGTAAAAAATAATTAAAAGTAAAAGTGTTTCAAAAATCAATGCAATCAAGAAGCTTGGGGTGGCGAGTTGGTCCGGCTGGGAGCAGTGCCAGAGGCAAATCCACAGGACACCGAGGGTGAGGTCCGGTCTATCGGGGAAGAAGACATGTCGGGTGAACCAATGGAGGATTGGCCGGTGATGGTAGGGTTGTGCACGGGTCGGGTTCGGGCGGGTCGGGTTTGCGAACCCTAAACCCGTTCGGGTTTTTTAATTTAAGTACTAGGCCCGACCCTTTGATATTTCAAATCGGGTATTTTAGATATTTTTAAGTCGGATATTATCGGATATCGGGTCGGGTTTCGGATATTTCGGTTATATTAAAAAAAATTATAATTGGATAATTAAAGTGTTTAAATGCCACTTTGACAAAAAATGTACACACTAGTGCACTAAACTTCCAAATTACACAAATAATTTAACACAAATTGCACAAATAATTACACAAATACTTGAACACAAGTATTAATTTAACATATTCAAAGTGCACACTACACAATTTAATATATTTTGGATATTTTGGTTATATTAAAACACATTATAATTGGATAATTAAAGTGTTGGAATGCCACTATGACAAAAATTGTACACACTAGTGCACTAAACATTCAATTTACACAAATAATTTAATACAAATTGCACAAATAATTGAACATAAGTATTAATTTAAATATTCAAAGTACACACTAACCTATATTTCGGATATTCGGGCGGGTCGGGTTGGGATTTTACAAACCCTACCCGCCACCTGGTCTAGGCCCAATACTAATCGGATTTTCGGTTTCGGGTTTTTCGAGTCGGATATCCACTTCGGTTCGGAAATATCCTGAAAAAAATATCGGGTTTTTCGGGTCGGGTTTTGCTCAGCCCTAGGTGATGGGCTGAAGTTGCAACACGGACGACGAAGGGGAAACATCATGTGGGCTTTGCAGCTGGTATCAGCTAGGGTGATAAATTAGAGGGGCATTAGGACACACAGGAGATTGAGACACAGTGGTACAGACTAGATCAGAATAAGAAAAAATATTTTCTAAAAATCTGACAATTCTGCTAATATAAACCCAACCAGAAATTGGATCAAAACATCGTTACCCCTTATATATATATTCTGACGCATAGCCCAAGAAAATACACTGAATGGAACGTGGCAGCAGCTTATTTGCAGATGAAGCATTAAAATTAGGAAAGCATGCACACCCAAAAACCTGCATAAAAGATAAATTTGGTTTGAAGTGAAAAAGTTTTTCAAAAGGAGACAAATCATGTAGAGTAGGAGAGGGCATTCTAAACCAAGCATTCCAGCCCAGCTGGTTGTGAGGTTACCGTGCCCAGCGAAAGGTCTCGAGTTTGAAACCCGCTAGGCACATAAAGGGTTTGAAACTCAATGAAGTGAGCTTCAACCCTGATTACTCCAGCCCCTCCCCCCCAGACCCCCCCCTGGAGTAAAAAATAGGAGAGGACATTCTATTAATAATAA